CTTCTTGTTCCTAGTAGTAAGGCACTTGTTTCTATTAGCTTCTTGTTACTACTAGTAAGGCACTTGCTCCTAGTAGCGATGCACTTGTTCCTAGTAGCGTCCTTGCTCCTAGTAGCGATGCCCATTGTTCCTAGTAGCTTCTAGTTTGAACCACTCGTCGGGGTAAAGCTCGTGCCGACTTGTACCGCTCATAGACATGCTCTTGGCATCCGAAATGCACGGCCAATCACCGAATTGTGCAATGCACAGACTCTCCTATCTAATTCTTCATCTAATCGATTTATAAAAAGAGGATATGGCCTCCAACTTACTAGCGATGGCCTCCAACCTATTAGTGATAGCCTCCAACCTAATAGTGATGGCCTCCAACCTAGTAGCAATTTTTTTCTATCTAATTCTTTGCCGAGTGGCAAAGATGACCGGATGGATTCATACCATGAGGATATGTTGAAGACCAGCGACAAGTCAATGCCTCAGCCACACCATCGCAAACACACTAAAGACTACAGCTTGCTTTATTTTGCAGCAGTCTAAGACACGAAAGTTCTCAAGTTGGAACGAAAATCTTGTCGATGCCCTGGAATGGACTTAACCACTGCTTTCGAGTTCTCACAAGGCGGCTTTCTCAGACGTTCTTTCCTTTGGCATACATTTCTTTTCTGTTTTGTTGGGGACTGTTCTTTGTTTTTACTCCCTCCTCCCTCTCTCTCTCTCTCTCTTTCTCTTCTCTCTTTCAATCTTTATTATGCCCTTTCTTTCTTCCTTCAGAAAGTTTGACAACGCTTTCTAAAAGCCTTTCCTTTGGCCCGAACCCCTTTTGTTGAATCTAAGGTCGAGTCCTGCTAGTATCACGTAGCTGTAAATCACCTCTTTCTCCTCCAGGGTCTGGGCTCTGAAAGGTCAGCTGACGATGAAATCTGAAGTCATTGAAAAAACAGAACAATTCTTCTCTCCTAGAATAAAGGACACTCATAAAAAAACCGCATATTTCATAAAAAGAATAGAACAAGAGGTGGGAAGACCTGTGCAGTGTCGCCCAACGGCAAGCAAATTGGCCGCTGGATATACCTGTCGCACGCTGGAACAAATGCACAGTTTTCATGATCCACTCAATTTTCTGTGAAGGATTGTTGCCATTCTCCTCCAACTAAGTGGGCTATCTGAATGAGGCAATCCTCTGGTTGACTGAAGAAGGCATCTCTTCTGGAACAAAAAGCAGCCAAGAATAACTTGCTCAAGCATCTGCAAATCTCACCTGGATGACATGCATTTGTAGGTCCCAGTGCGGGAATAACCAGGACTACAAATGGCCACGCAGTCGTTACCTAAGCAGTCGGTCACGATTTTGCAAACAAGCACAGCGTCCTGATCTTGCAGAGCACAGGATGTGGCAAGTTACAACAAACAGACCGACTTCAAACTACGGGTGATCTGCCATCCTGAGCTCCAAACCATTTGGCAAATATGGACACCGCAAGAGCTGGCGAGCAAGTGGTCTGTTGCTACGGATTACAAGACCCAACAATAGCAACGATAGAATCCCGTGAACAATCTTTGACCAATTTGATGACCACACGAAAGTTCTCATTGACTATTGAGTCTGTTCTGTGAAACATAACATAGACCTCTGCTTTCTTTTGCCTTCTTGTCAAACGCACTGTCCGAATGACCTACCAGTACGACGCCTCTCATTGCAGGTCTTTGAATCTTCAGTACTCTTGGACCACTTGGACTTTGCTCGGTAGCATCTCCCTCTTCTTCTCTTGGGGTCTTGGTTTAAGATGACAGGAAGACGAAAGGGAGGGAGAGGGAGTAGCGCAACAAAGATGAAGCTAAAAGCGGTTTGGTAACAGCTCTTTGCTTTGTGTTTTCATCCTTCTTTTTTCAACACATTCTGCAAAGAACACTGTATTGACTACCGACTACCTATTGCTCAGATTCTCTTCAGTATCCCTTGCTACCTCCAACCAAAAGAACAAAACACTACATTTTCGACACTACGAAATTCTCATTCGCTCAAGACACTTGTTTTTCTT